GTTCAAGACCAACTCAATAAAGTAAGTATCACCAAAAAATTGAGTCACACGAATTTTTTGGTATTCCAGTGCATATAAGTTATGTTTACACCATATTGTAGTCTATTAATTATACAATAACATTATGTCTAAAAACATACCTTAATTTAAAAATACTTTATTGCTAAAAAAAGGTTAACCATCATCTGAGCCTCTAACAAAGCATATTCTTTTTGCTGGTAAAGGTCTAGCAATGTTGATGACTGCTGACTCATCAGAGCAGTGGTTAGGGATGGTTAGGGTGGCTCTGGCATTTTTTAAAATAAGACAACAATGAAGTTTGCTGCACTGATTGATTCGTGACTTTCATGAACAATTTCTCTGCGGGATGTGAATTGTCTGATAGCATTTTACCCACAAGATCTTCCAACATTGGATTCAACCCTCTTAAATCCTGCTTCTGCTTCATCAACGAAGTTCATGTAATATTCTAAATCCCTTGTTGTCATTTCAACAATCTTCACAACATCTTCATCGGGAGTAGATTCCATCTCAAGAAACCATTTTCTTTCCTCACCCATTAGAAGCACTTCCTCATCCATTAAAGTTTTATCATGAAATTGCAGCAGTTCAGTCACATCTTCAGGCTCCACTTCTAGTTCTATCTCTTTTGCTATTTCCACCACATCTGCACTTACTTCCTCCACTGAAGTCTTGAACGTCTCAAAGTCATCCATGAGGGCTGGAATCTCCACCAGCAATTGCTGCTTCACCTTGCACATTTGTTATGGGATGGCTTCTTTCCTTAAACCTCATGAATTAACCTCTGCTAACTTCAAACTTTTCTCCTGCAACTTCCTCACCTCTCTCAGCCTTCACAGAATTGAGGAAAATTGGAGCCTTGCTCTGGATTAGGTTTTGGTTTAAGGCAATGCTGTTGTTGTTGGTTTGACGTTCTATCCAGACCACGAAAACTTTCTCAATATCAGCAGTAAGGCTGGTTTCCCTTTCTTGTCATTCATGTGTTCACTGGAGCAGTGCTTTTAATTTCCTTCAGAAACTTTTCCTTTGCATTCACAATTTGACTGTTTGACACAAGAAGCCTAGCTTTCAACCTATCTCAGCTTTTGACCTACCTTCCTCACTAAGCTTAACCATTTCTATCTTTTGATTTAAAATGAGAGACATGCAACTCTTCCTTTCATGTTAACACTTAGAGGCCATTGTAGGATTATTAATTGGCCTAATTTCAAAATTGTTGTGTCTCAGGGAGCAGGAAGGCTCAAGGAGAGGATGAGAGATGGGGAAGGGCTGGTCAGTGGAGCAGTCAGAACACACACAACATTTACTAAGTTCACCATCTTACATGGGTGCAGTTTGTGGCACCTCAAAACAATTACAATAGTAACATCAAAGACCACTGATCATGAGCCAGCTGGGTGGTACAGTTGGTTAAGAGTGCAAGCTCTGAGCAACAGGGTCGCCGGTTCAATTCCCACATGGGTAAGTAAGCTGCGCCCGAGCTGGGCTGCCACTGAGCTGCCAACAGGTGGCAGGATGGCTCAGCTGGTGAGAGCACGTGCTCCTAACAACAAGGTTGCCAGTTCAACTCCCACATGGGATGGTGGGTTACGCCCACCTGCAGTGAAGATTGAACACGGCACCTTGAGCTGTGCAGCCGCAAGCTGCCGATGGGTGGCCGGATGGTTCAGTTAGTTAGAGCGCGTGCTCTTAACAACAAAGTTGCCAGTTGACTCCTGCATGGGATGGTGGGCTGCGCCCCCCGCACCCCACCGCCCCTGCAACTAGATTGAAAGTGGCAGCTGGACTTGTAGCTGAGCTTGCACCCTCCACAACTAAGATTGAAGGACAACAACTTGACTTGGAGCTGATGGGTCCTGGAAGAATATAATGATCCCCTTCCCCAATTCCCCAACACTGTTCCTTTCCCATATTCCCCAATAAAATCTTTAAAAAAAAAAAAAAGAAAGAAAAGTAAGCAAACTAGTAAACACAGACTATATTAAGCACTTTACAAATTAAGTCATTTAGTCCTCTAAACAGCTTATGAGATAAGTAATACTACATTCTCATTTAATAAATAAAGAAACTGAAGCACAGAGGGTTTAAATAACTTGCTATATGTCACACAGCTAGTCAGAGCCAGTATTCAAAGTGAGGTGAAATCCTTACTTAATCCTACACTATGTTGCCACCACTGTAGAGCCCTTTAGCAATTTTAGAATAGAAAATTAATAATTAGTAGTCTAAAAATGTGTACAGGTAGACACCAAGTGTCTATTATTTCATATTATGTACTACATTCATGGTGAGATGGGTGGTAGGGAACAATTTTTTTAGTACTCACTCTATGTCAGGTACTGTACAAAATTTTAATAAAATTATCTCATTAAATCCTCGTAACAACCAGGAAGATGATGCCATCTCCATTTATAGGCAAAGAGTCTGAGGACCAGTAAAGTTAAGTAACTTGCCCAATTTCACACCACTAATAACTAACAGAGCTAGATACAAAATCAAATCTACCTTTTTCAAAGCTAATGCATTCTAATGTACAATAATGCTTACCTACTTAGGCTATTCATACACTTAAATTATAAACTCAACATGACTATATAAGCTGTTATGGCTTTACATTTATTACCCTCATTATTATCTGTTGACAACCTTTCATATACTTTAACTGTCTTAAAATATTTTCCGATCCTTTCTACTGAAATATCTGAAATTTCTACTACTAGGATACACTTAAAAATGAAAAGATATAATCTGGAAAAGATAATATATTAACCCCTCGTCATGCATTGGCAGAATTATTCTATAAGCCCAGCTAGTTAAGTAATCTGCAGCAGGTCCACACTGATCATTTTTGTACTATTGCAGTAATATTCAATTATCTTCCTGTCCAGAACGTATCCCTTCCAAAAATACTCTTTAAAAAATTGATGCACCAATTATTTTCCCCCTATAAAGCAAAAGTTGCTTTCTCTTCCTTAAATAGCATTCATTCGTCAACAAACATTTAAAGCTTTTCCTAAAAGAAAGTTTCCCTGAACTTACTATTTCCTCAAGCTACTAGAGGCATAACCAGGTTCTAACATCTAAGGCAGCTCTGTTCCTGGAAGTAGGCAAGAACTTAGAGGAACCACTGTTGGTCTGCTTTATACTTGATAAGTCTTAGCTTATCTTAGCTAAAAGACCCATACTTTTATCAGGGTCTCAATAACCATTGTGTCAATATTTTAACTTAAAAATGTTGCAAGGGGCCACTTTTGGAAAATGTGCTAAGGCAGGGATCACTGCCTACTTTTATAAAACGTCTACAATCTGATCCCATGCCAATAATCCAAACTTTCTCCCACAATCCCCCAATATAGTTATTACATTTTAGTAATCACCATCTATAAACCAGGTCTGCTAGGCATGGATTTCCATTCTCATATCTTTCATGTCCCTTCTTCCCATTCTGTGCTTATTCCCACCTCCGCATCTCCACTTAAACCACGCCCTTCATCTGAATGCCATCTCTCCTCTCTAACTTACTATCATTCTAGGCCCAACTAACTTACCAGTTCCCCCTGAAACCTTCCCAACAGTCATATGCCCATATTGCAATACACCATCTATGGATTCTTATGTTCAAAGCCTATGCTGCCCAATCCAATCTTTGATTACATTTTGCCTAGCGTTGTTCATGAGTTGTCATTCTTATTGTATAAACCATTGTGCATATTTTCTAGAGGGCCAGATCAAGTCACATATTTTCCTTTTATCTCCTAAAGTATATATAGCACAGAAATAAGGGGGAAATGCATCTAAAAAAGTAATAATATAAAATAACATAAAAACAAGATTATAGCTTAAGAAACCAATCTACTTTTAAGTGTCCACATACCCACAAAAATATGGCTAACACAAATCATCTGTTTATTAAAATAAATCTGAAACTTTTAATAAGTTCTTTCAAGAATGGTACAGTTTTTCTTTGAAGTTATAATACCAACGTTCTTAAAATACATTTATTTGGACTTTTATTTCAGACTCCAAACCCAATATGTTGAGATTTTGCCAATACATTAAACATGTATATTGCTTACCAACATCAATGATCACAATGCAAAAACAACCTTGGAATCATAAATTTCCTTCTACAAAAGCCTAGGTTTAGATATTTGAAGTCACAATAAATTATGTATATTTACATAGCAGAGCTGTCTAAATAATTAAATTACATGCCAAATTATTATTTCATTAATGCTTACAGCATTTCATTAAGCAGGCAAGTATTAACAAGTCCATTACACTATTTGTAGTATTAATGTGTCTGAAATGACAATAATTATTAGTCCAATGACATAACCAGTAGGTAACAGTATGTTATTCTTCTAGCATAGAGAAATTAGTTTCATTGAACTTTTGACCCAAACATATCACGTTATTTCAGTCATGAAAAAATAAATTTGAATTTTAGACCTTTGGAAATCACAAATTATAGGTTGTTCCACATCTGGTGGAAAGGAACAGATTATTCAAGTTAACTCTGCTTAAAATTAATTAGAAAAAATAAAAACACATTACCAAATGAGACAGGAAAATTTTCTACTGGCTTAGTTATTACTCAAAGTTCTAAAATTTATAGCCAGAAATAGAAAAGAAGAAAGGCTAAAACATTGGAAAGAACGTTTACCAGTTTTACTTAATAAAAAAGCTAATTATGAGCTTTCCATAGGAAAATCAGATCACAAGGAGAAAAAAATAAGGTGGATACATTCTCCAAGATGTCATTTAATTTCCCCATAAAGACAAAATTACCCATCAAAATTTACATTAATTCCCTACATCATTAAATATAGATTTAACAATATCTCTGTACCCAAATAAAAAAAATGAGAACAAATGTATTTTGTTCCTAGATGGTTTATTAGAATTTGTACCATAAAGCTTTTCTGGACATTTACTTTCAAATGTATTCTGCAAGAACATAAAAGAGGGAATCATACCTGTTTTAGTAATGACTTCCTGTAACTCAGCCATAGAAGTGATTATTGCAGCAAGAAGGTCAGAACTGGTGAGCCAACTGAGAGCTTGCAAACAACGTAACTGCTCCTTTTGATGTTCTGCAAAAATAGAGGAAAAAAAAAATCCATTATGCAATGCTACAAAATTTTATTAAAATCCATGTTTAAAATTCATAGCAATGTTTAACTACTTAAGAAATGGATCAAAAGTTGTAGACAGAACTTTGCCTGATGCAGAAAAATCTACAAGAAACATTAGATTTGATTGACTCTATTTATTTATATATTTGACTGTTAACTGACATCAATAAAAAGAGAGAATGAAATTTTCTTTAGTTCTACTTATATTACTTAATAGCTTAATGTTAAAAATTGAAATCATTGTTTCCTCAGAATAGCATTCAAAAAAATGTTGTATTTGTCTCATTTATATTTGTCTCATTTTCATTGAGTTCTTCAACAGATTTTTGCCTCTGATCATTTTATACTGATTCATAGAAAGTGAAAATAAATCATACTGATAATTAGTTTTAAATAGGTCAGAGTCTCTAGATTGACTTAACTGAAAAATTGCTGTATAAACTCTTCACTTTACTGTGAAAAGATCGCTCAAATATAATAAAGCCAGACAAAGTTGAAATTATATATATTTGCTACTTTCTTTATATTTTAATGTTTATAACAAAAAATTAAAACCTAATTCATACATAAATATACATTTATCCATACACACATACATATTTACATATGTATGGGACTATGTTACATGACTTGATATATTAAATGATTTTTTTAAGTTTTTGCATAATGCCGAAACATTGTATGTCACATTCAACTTAGATTTTTAAAAGCACAATTTGTCTTACTTGGAAATTTATGCTTGTCTTTGGGATCTCCTGTACACACTAACATGCCTATGCCTTCTTTGAAACTTTCCATCCAGGTAAAAAGAGAGGCACATGATTGGCCTAAAACCTTGAGCCTGTTTGCTGCCAAAATTGCAATAACACCTTTCCGGAATACACGTATCAATCCTTTGAATGGTTTTTTCTTCATCTTGGCTTCCTCTTGCTTCTTTTCCTCTACTGTTGACAAAGCCTGGGCTAGAGTTCTCACTTCCAATTTGAACAACTCAAAGGTGTTGACCTGCTCCAGGAGAAAATCTCTCTGTGTAGATAAGGCACATGATCGGCTATAGAGAGGATATAAGGCACCAGCCATCAACGCACAGGCTGCCAGCAAGGATGTTTGCTCCTTTTGGGTCTGTGATAACACATTTTTGATGCGTGAATTTTCAAGAACCAACTGTTCATGTGACTTCTCAAGACGGTTCAATTTTTCCATATTTTTTTCAGCAATTTCCTGAAATTTCTATAAGAAGAGAAGTCAAATAATATATTTAACCATGAAACAAATAGGCATTTTATTAATGCCTCTTTATAAAAAGAAAACAAATGTTCCCTGACAAAACTACTTCTTCTTCAAAAGATCCATGTTCTAAAATATCCAAAAACTACATATGATAGAGCACAGTGGGCCAAACAGCTTAGATTTGAATGTGCACATTGAGTTTTAAATCCTCTTACATAAAAGCTTTTTATAAAGTAGAACACATAAATTTAAACTTCATGAATTTCCTGTACACTTGCGAATAAGTACACATATTTAGAAAAAGAAAATTTCTCCTCTTCCATTTCTCATAATTTCTCCTCTTCATTCCTCGCTAACTTTTATTTCCTGCTTTTAGAAATTACACCACCAACAGAGGTTTTCCTATATATATAAAAAAACTTCACTTTTGCCAAAATAAATGAAGGGTTAAATCAATATACAACAAATAGCACTTGACTGTCTGCCATTTACTAGATGAGAAGGATCGGCTCTCAGAACATACTCATATCTCAGCTCCTTTCATACGTACAAAGTACAGCTCTAGTGGTAGGAGGAAATGCTACTTATAAGCTGGACCTCAACAGCTCTCTGATTCTTTTTCCCTAATCAAGGTACCTCCATTTTAAAACTTAATTTGAAACACTAACAAATTTTAACTGCAGGTACCATATTTTAAGCATTAGAAAATAAACTAGCTTTCTATGAAATCTTATGCCTAATCATTAAGGAATTGCTGAGGTAAATTTTAGAAGATGCCAGATCCCAATTTCCTTTACTGATTCATTTATCATTCAATAAACATTTATCGATTACTCACTAAATTGCATGTGCTAGGGAAACAGATGAGTAAATCAATTATTGTGGTATAATGCTATGATATGACTTGGCAAGGATCCTCTTTCTTTTTAAGAGTAGGCCAAGGGGGTTCAATTTGAACAAGTAGGTTCAATCTGAATTTGTGTATGTATGATAAAGTAAAGTGCTGTCTTCATTATGAGAGAATCCTTTTGGGGGCATTAAGGAAAATGGTCAAAATCAAATGGAATATTGAAGGAGAACTACAAGTAAAGTAAGTCAATCGTGGAAAAGATTTAATTTTAGTGCATGATAGATTGCAAACTCCTCCACGGTGTAGAGCTGGTCCACTTCCACAACCCATCAGGTTAAAGCCAACAGCATTTTAGAGAGGCAGCCAGAAATAGGAAGTCCTGGGATGAGGATGAGAGGGTAATCAAAACATGGATAAAAAAAAATAAATAAAAATCTACAATATGTTACCAAAATTACCCAACTTCTCTTCATATAAAGAATAACAGGAACATGATAGAATTTTTTAAAAACAGGACTGAGATTCCTGCCTTATACAGCCACTTGTCATTTTAGGTTATCTAGTAGAAGTAGTGGCATGTAACAAAGCAATTTCTGAAGATCTTTATGTCATTCATAGCCCCCAAATTTAGATCTGTAGTAATTATATATTAAAAAGTTCAGGTTGGGCCGGCCGAGTGGCGCGATGGTTAAGAACTCGCTTGGGATGCCAGAGGGCCCCGGTTCGGATCCCACATATGAGGGCCAGTGACACTG